TGATACTTAGACCTAATAAACTTGGAATTAGACCAATGCATGACAGTAAACATCGTAGGCTAGCCAGACAAGTCATTTCGGGTTACCTCGAAAGAGGTTCCAAACCACCACTTCCCTACCTAATACCCAAACTCCTGCCTCAATGGGCATCGGACGACACCGTGTCAGTTCCTTCGATTCTGGCAGATTGTTTCCTATGTGGAGGTGAGTAACAACGCTACCAGACCTTCGCCGTGCTTGCTGATATTCAACGTCCGAGCCTGTCAAATTTTAAAGGTTTCGAAGGACAACCCGAAGGTCTGAGTCCAGATATCTGGGAATACCTATTGGATCTACAAAGGTCAATTATATCTAAGTATTTATCTGCAGATTCATTAGCTAAGTGAATCTACTATGCTGAATTCTGTCAGGCCCGTCTATCCTCTTAGTTGTCAACGTGTGGCAACCCAAGTGATCTCCATTTTTGAAAGAAAGAGGACACGTCCCGCCACTTCGCATTCAATCATCTATATACAGCCAGCATATAAGATCCAGCTCCTTATCCGAAATACTGAGTTCTACTAGTAGAACCAGTAAACGGACTGAATCAACGAAGGTTAGGAGCAATATCTCATTGGCACTTTCACCTTCTACCAGTTTGACGAGAAGTGTATGTTCCAGAACAAGTCAGAGTGTAGTGTCTCACATCTAATCATGGCCTCTGCCAGTACTGCTTGACCTTCATTTTTACATTCTTGCATTGAAATCTTGTAATATACAGTCTATTGTAACCAAGCAGAAAACGTCCCATTTGGTATATACCTTAATAGTAGAAAAAGAAGCTGGAAGACGAAACATTATAAAAGGGACGATGCTTCCAAAGTGATAAGTGTATCAACATACCCGAACGAAAACACAAATGAGAATTGTAAAGGAAGTTGTAGCGTAGTCTTCACAAAAGATGAGAAAGATGATAATGTATACATACATACAAACGGAAGAATCTGAACACTCATCATAAATCCCTTCTCTCTCTAGCCCACTCTCGTCCAAGGAACCTATCATCGGTAGGACTATTGCCCACATAATGATAAGGAGCACCGGTAGAGCCAAAAGAGACAGGCTCCGTGTTTGGATTTGTCGGATCTATAGCAGCGCTTGCCCATTGAGATAGTCCAGTGAATAGACTACCAGCTCCTGTAGAGTCGCCCTCGGAATCTCTCGGAGAAGTGCCAGCTCGTTGTGGGATCGGTCTCGGAGGCGATGGAGGTTTTCGTGAAGGTGATAGAGCATTCTGAATTGACGCAGCAGCAGCAGTCGTGGTAGACTCGGGATTGGCACTAGGATTTGCAGGGGTTTGTGGTCGCGAGATAGCAGAAGCAGCCACCGAAGTAGCTACCGCCACGATTGGTGAGTTGGCAAATGCTGCACTTGCAAATCGGAAACTTGATACCTTCCTACTGAGAGCTTGAAGAACAGACGTCCGATCCGGTCGTTTCGGTTCTTGTTCAATACCCTGAGATGAACCTGCAGGCAATTCGTCGTGATTTTCGCCGTGCGACATGAACATAGTATGAATTGAAGAATCTGATAAACCTCTAGGTCGAAGGGTACGCTCTAGAAGTGTATCAGGGAGAACATCACGAGCCTCATCTGCCTCGTCTGCGTTGGTTGCATCCTGAGAGGTAGAAGGCTGGGAATGTGGATGTGTCTGAACGGGATCCCGGTCAATGACGGCATCGACAATCCGCGATAGTTTCGTGTTTGCACTTGGAGCACCTACACCAAGCGCTCTCATCGAGGTCCTTCTACCAATAGTAGCACTCCCACTAGAGAGGTTCTCAAACCGTCTCGCCGTGCTAGGAGTGAGTCCACTCCCAGAGCCCCCCTGAGCTTTGGGAACAACGATCCAAGGATCCTGGGAATCTGTGACATTCCTCGGTGCACCTGCAAAGATGTCCATAACACTTCTCGAGTTCGAAGAGGCAGCGCTTTGTAATCTAGGACTTTGGGCAGTGGACGATGGATTAGGCGAAGTGATTGTTGATAGCAGGCCGTGAGGACCAGACGAATCTGGATGTGCACTGAATGTACTCGTAACAGCTCTTCCAACACCTGCGCCTGAAAACTCGACATTGACGGTCATAGCACTTGCCGATAGTGCAGCTTCACGTTTTGGGACAACACGTGGTGGAGGTAACGAAGCGCGAGCACGTCCTCGATTTGCAGGTCGTGCAGGTGGAGACAAAGCACGTATGGCAGGATCTTGATCAGAAGCAGAGATACCAGGGATACCCAACAACTTCGTTATTGGTGCCATCCATCCTGATGAATTAGAAGAGCCACCGCTAGAATCAGCAAGCTCAGCAGCTCGGGCTTTGTGTGGATTCATAGCTAGATCGCTTACTCGGCCTGCGACCGTTGGATCTAGAATAACATCGTTCAGGGTCACTCTCAATTCCCCCATCTCCGAAAACATCTCTTTGAACAACTTGAACAATCCTCGCAAATCTTTCCGAGTACAAGTTGTTATCACCTTCTCATCCTCTAAGAAGGCACGAAACTGGGTCCGGAGGGTGCTCACTTCTTGAATGATGTTATTGACAGTACTCCGCGAAAGATGTCCAACATCGGCACCGAGTAGATGTTGTCGCTTCAGACGGTTGGTAAGCGTCAGAGCGTCCGCTTGGGATAGTCTATTCATTAGGTGTGATATTCGCTCCAGCAAGATACCAATGATAGTTGTTTGCGAGTCCTGTCCAGTGATCGAGGAAGATTCAGATACTCCATCATGTGGTGATGATATTGACTTCTGGTCGCCGAATGCTCGGGGAACGGGAGAAGGCGCAAGAGTGCTACTCGTGACAGGAGTACCTATTCCAATTGGATCAGTTTGAACACCTCGAGATCGAGTGAGTAAAAGTAAGGACTTCATCCCTCGCGGTCGTTCCGGGGTCAAGGGCCCACTATCTCCTCGTTCCTCGTCTACCTCTAGACTAAGTTGTGAGGGAGCATATCGTGAATGTGGTTGGCTAAATGAAGAGAACTTAGGATCACGGGTTATGAACGACTCTGGAGATAGAGGTCTATGGCTTTCGGGAGTAAGAGGTTCCTACAAAATATGATAAGTTAACCGAGCTGTGAAGGAAGAGAGAAGTACCTACGAATGGCCTTCGTCCGCGCTCCATACTCACCGCGCGTCGATCAGTGGAAGGGCCTGCCTTCGACGCGTTTCGACTGAATGCAGAATGGAAAACTGATGTGCTTGGTGCAGTACCGACATGAAACGTGGGCGATAGAGGAGAAGAAGGGTCATGGACATGAGACGACGTAATACTACTGCTTTGTTGATGTCTCGAAAATACAGGTTTATCGGCTCTGCGTTCGTCGACTTCTTCTTGTAAAGCGCGGATGTCTTCTCTCGTCTCGGTCAACATGTTCTGTAATTCGGCATTATCATGCTTCAACGCTTCGTTGTCAGCTACTAGTGACTCCAGAACTTTAGTAACTTCTCCATCGTCAAGTGTGAGATTTCGGCCCAGTTGCTAAATCACTTCAGTCGATGACTAGATCCGTAGAGCTTGGTTGAACTCACCAACTGTTGAAGCTGTTGTAATCTCTGACGGGCATCTGAAAGGATCTCCTCCGACCACTCGTGACGATGAGTTCTATGCATATCCAGATCTTCGCGGAGGCGGTTGACTTGAGCTTGAAGCTTAGCTGTGTCGTCGATTCAATAACGTAATCTCTATGGCAGCCGCAGAACTTACCACACTTCTCTTTGAACGCAGCGATACGAAGCTCTGCCATTCTCGCACGTTGTATTGCGCTATCTCGCTCTTGTTGTATATCGTCTTTCTCCTGCATCGTACTATTCAGACGTACGTCGATGCCCACGGCCCTAGCATTCTGCGCGGAAAGCTTGCTGATCGTTGCCTTGGCATCTTTGAGCTCTTGGAGCACCGCTTGATGGGAGGATTCTGCTACTTCATTGTTCACAAGAGCTTGAGTAAGACGCTATGAGGAAATTGAGCAATCACATATACCCTAATTATCAGAAGCTGATTACCTTCTCCAGGACAGCATTCTACAATCCAAGTTATCAGGGAAAGCCTGCAAACAAAGGGGGAAATTGGGCGCACCTCTCGAAGCAGGTCTGCAACCCTTGTCTCTACTCGACCGTTTTCGTCGTCAGGTATATGTTGACCAGTCGTTCGACCCTGTCGGTCATTCACTAATGTGTCAGTGATACATCTATGTTGTGAATAAGAAAGTACCGACTTCATGTCGACGAACATATGCCTCATGTCGTTCCAACAGAGCCTGTCCCACTTCTACAGTCACTGTTCGTTAGTAATGAATATCACAGTAAGTATACAGAGGAGCTTACCGGCACTCAGTACCAAGCGACTCTCAAGCTTCGCCTTGTAGGCACTCCAGGCTATGCTAGTTGTACAATCATCCTTTCCACAACAACATATGGTGATATTTGGAGGCTCCGGGGAATGTGCCCTGGAAAAATCAGCTAAAGCAAGGGTAAGATCGTCGATTGTCGCAGTCGCATCCCGCAAGCTGCTGGGGGAATCAGGAGTTGAAGGTCGTGAATCTGCAGCTTCGGACATGGTGAGTGAGAGGTTTAGTTTGTGGAATAAAGATCGTGTTGCGGACAACGTTTATGGAGGCAGATAATAGATGCATGCAGAATGAATGAGATCAGGATGATAATGGTGAGTATCCGAGGTTTAGAGGGACATGGCAGTCTGGCTTTAACTTGAAACTGTGCGGGCGCTTTAGTAACACATGAACGTTACAAAAAACAACAAGGTTAGGGTTAGATACCAGAACACGAGGCTACCAGTCGCCCCACTAATTACAAAAACATTATTGCTCGGACCGTCTCAATGCGAATTCAGACAATGACAAAAGGCTTATATATTACTATATTACTATATAACTATGTACTTACTCGTGCTTTAATACAGTAAAAAGCATTGAAACCACCAAAAGCATTTAGTTGTTTGTGGACACTGAGGGGATTGAACCCTCGACCTCATGCAATTTGCATTTTCGTATGCAAAGCAGGCGCGCTACCACTGTGCCAAGTGCCCGTTGAAAACGTTATTCTCCGCCATTAAGTCCAGGTCCCGGCCACGGTGAATACTGGACAGAGTTGCAATGAGTTGATAGAGTACGAGTACATCTGCCAGCATGTATAGAACGAAGTACAGTTCTCTAGCCTCTAACGCGTGCCATTCAATCTTCATGCATCATGCTGAAACTCAAGTGTGAAAATGCGAAATACGAGCATGGTCCCATATATTCCTTAAGTCTACCTGTTCAGCATAGAGAGGTGCTCGTAGATTGGGGTGGCTCCTACAAAAGCCGAACTATCATCTAATAAGGCTTGAACTTCCTAGATGACTTCAACCTCTCCACCTTGGCCTTATCTTCTTCCCACTTCGTCTTCAAATCGACGAGTTCTGTGAATGAAAAATCATGAGGATTCTTGCGAGATGTAAGACTGGAGGGACAACGGGATGCGCTCACCTTTACGTTTCCTCTCGTGAACCTGGAACGAATAAAAGCTCTCTTTCTCCTTCGGCTCTTTCTTCCTCTTACTTCTTTTCCTTCCTCCCCCTTCACCTTCACGACCACCTTCGCCGACTTCACCTTTGGCGACAGCCACTTGGAATTTCTTGCTAGCCACACCAACACCACCGCCGATCGTTTGCCCATAAGCACCTCCTCTGGTGACAAGCGTGAATCCGTCTTCGTCAACGATAGCTTCTCCCTTCCTGTATTTGCTTTCTTGCTCTCTACGCTTTTCTTTCGCAATGTTGTATTCGAATAATGTCATCCATGTGTCCGCATGAGATTTCACGATATCCAGAGGAGGGCGAAGAGATGTGAACAAGGATTTGTAGTATGCAAGGCCGGATAAATTCTCGTCTGATTCAATAGAATCGGTTTTTGGAGGCCAAGGTTTGGGTTTGGCAGAAGATAAAGTAGAGGCGGAGGAAATGAAACGGGATAAAGAGGTGCTGTCGAGGAAGACGACATGAGCATTACTTCCAGTTTTATGGAGTGAACTTCGTGCGGGTAATGAAGGAAGAGGAATAACTTGAGGTGGTGTTTCTTTGGTCTTTTGGTTCTTGTCCAGTCTGCGTCTTTTGCGAGGTTGCTGGTCTTGATCCTCGTCTTCCACATCCTCGTCTTCGCTACTCTGCCTTCCCTCATCCTCTTCATCATCGGTCATAACGTCTTCACCTTCTTCTAACCCTCCGTTTATATCTCTCCCTTCATCCTCAAATAGAACTCTTTCAATAGTTCCCCAAGGTTTGAAGAACAAAGCAAATTCCCTCTCAGTAGAGTCTGGAGGGACATTCACTATGAAGAGCGTCCGTCCTTCTGGCAGGTTATTGCCATCCTTTTCTTTCCCTTTTGACTTGGGTTTTGTTGCCTTCGAGTTAGTGTGTGCTCGTACGTATAATATATGAGAGCATGATGATGATTTCTTCACAGACGATGAAGCTGAAGGCAGATTATATGATAACGGAATTGGTGTGAAGCCTTGGATTAAATTTGGGAGGGAGGCGGACATTTTGTGAACAAATAAGAAACGAGCAGAAATTGAAAAGCGCTTCAGTGTTTGTTAGACTAGCGCCAGGAGTTTGATATCATATTACGTAATCAATCACTACTATTAAACCAATTGATCTGAGTGTTTCCGCCAACCAACAATGTCGAAGTACTTAAACGTACCTATTTTTCCACTTTTATCGCACCACACTCTTGAACGACGACTCATTGATATATCAAAACAAAAGGTAACGAACGTTCTATCATAAAAAGTTACTACGTAGTACTGCACGAGTGCAATCTTGGATGAGTATCTGGGTAAGCACAGAAATCTTCGAATTTGGTGCTCCAGTTTGTATCTTTCAGTTCATCAAAATATTGATTCGAATTGTCAGAATCTATCTGTTCTTGCTTTATATCACCGATGACCGTAAAGGGCTTCAACTTTGAATCTATACGATGGTAAACGCAATCTGCATGAATGCATTTACCCTAGCGTCGGATAGATATTTCTCTAACAACAAGTCTGAAAATATTAATCCTCCTCCTCCTCAGCATTTTCCTGTCAAGACCCGATCTCCGATCAAACGCTCCGCCATTCAGCATTTGGCTAGCAACTTCAATCGCAGCTCAACGGTGGATACTGACACGATTTGCCTACCGTGCGAGAGCATTAGTAGCAACGCACTGGAAGACCGAGCTACCAACATCAACTTCATCAACCTTCTCAGCCTCTCAGTTACGCCCCAACTCCCAGGTAGACAAGATTGATATCCGAATCTCGCAGGTGTGAGTACGACCTGTAACTCTGGATAACCTTATGACCATCTGTTACTAGCTTTTTAGCACGCAGTGATGACCATCAGTATGTGGGTTCGATATCCAACGTTAATGTTCAACGTTCAACCACGGAACAGTGACCTAATTGAACGGAGACACAGCGTGTAAGTCGCTAAACATCTTCAATTCTAACACAGGCGGAAGTCTGGATCGACCGGGCAGAACCTGTGAGGGTTCAGATACTCTGAGGTCGACGACATATGGTCTCTGGTATCTTTATCCTCAATGATTGAGTAGGGAGTGAAATCGCAGTCATAAGCCAGTCGTGCTTCAATTTGTTAGGCGAGTAATCAACATGTCCTCCCTTGCTGTCTTAAATTGATCGCTCACAAGATCGTTGTGCTCTCTAGTGATGAATACCTATCATATATATCATTCCATTTCCAGTGGTACAATATATTATCACCCCACTAGTACGTCCGCCGGATTTCGCTAGGATGAGAAAGGCTTAAAATTCACCGACTTTCTCATCACTGATGCGTACTATCTCACTGGGGGCCACTGGACATTCTTCATTCACAATCAAAGATTTCCGGCCGAAGGGTACTGTATCCTATGTACTATGCCTTGCGACTTTGCAATCGCTGGCAGTGGTATTGTTGTAATATTCGATGGCGTTCATCATCGCTCCGGATACCCGTATCTATGCAACTGTCTGTCTAACCAAGTGACAATCACCTCTCGTAAGTTCAACTCGGGCACGCATGGCCAAGGTCAGCAGAAGGGGCTCAGCGCTCTAGCATTCATCCTCGAAAGCTCTTCAAACTCTATTGTATCTGCATGACCATACACCTGCACTCTCAAAATTGACTCTATCAGGCAATTCTCTCTATCAGACGACTCGAGATACTCCGAAGGAAAATAGTGCACGTCGGTGATTCGATCATGGGTCGTGATCATTTATTGATCCCGTCGCGGGATAGAAGTCAGAAGGAAGGTCAGTATGCTGCCTTGCCTCGTTATGATGACGAACGATACTGATGACAGTTTAATTTTAATTACAGGGACATCCACGTTGGTTCGCTGGAGGCGTACATATGAGAGTCGCTCGAGTAGATAGGTTGCTTTAACTTTCGACCTCTTTCTTCGTTCTCATCCTAACTTATATATTTGCAGACATCATTCCGTTACCATCCTTGTCTCTCTGCACCTCTTAACTGAAGTTCAGAATTGCCAAGTGGTCACTTCATCTTAGTCGACCCCGATTTCATTCTAAATTATTATCTTTCGTCAGTCATCACTCAGAACCTTCCTTTGGTTTGCGATTGTGCCCTTCTCCTCTCAAGCTACGCTGATCTATTTTCAGTAATCATGGCCCCAACTATGTACTCAGACCACCCAGCCTTCCCCGTGTCCTACTCTCAGAAGCATCCAAATGCGTCACCTGACTCTTACATCTCGAGTCTCTCCCCAGCCCAACGTCTTCCTTCCGACACCATCATTGCTATCCTCAAACCTCTCCTTACCTCATTACTTATCACAACTCTAGAGTACTCACCAACATCTGCTCTTGATCGTGACCTAGTCTCTCCAATCAACGAATCCCAGTCCGCGCTATGCCATGCCCTTCAAGTCTGCTCAAATTGGTATACACATGGAACACAACTTCTATACACCCACCCACATCTCTGCACTCCCACTCAGATTCGCGCTTTTTCTCGTACCATCATGTCCAGACCAGATCTTGCACATATGGTGAAGAACGTGTACGTGATGGATCAGTACAGGTGGTTCCCTTATCCCCCTGACTCTGCGAAAACGTGGGGATGGACCAAACTCAAGGAGTGGAAAGATCTCCTCTTAACAAGGAAGGAAATTACAAACGTTCTCGCTCGATGCTCACGTATCGACAATCTCGAAGTTTTCATGCGAAACTACAAGCGTACAACCGTTTTACCAAGTCTCGAGAAACTCTTGTGTAAAGAGTCGATTGGGAGGATGAAGTTGAGGAGACTTTGTCTCTTTGGTTACATGCGTACTGCATATGATCAAGACTTATATGACCCATTTGGTCTCGGAGGAGCTGAAGCATCCCCTTTGGGAGTATCTACATTTACACCTGCGAACGCTACCGCCTCATCTTCGTCATCATCCCCACCTCTGCCAAATACTTCAGATCTCGACCTCCCCACTCTCGAAGTTCTCACACTTCGTGAAGTATGTTTCGGTATTCCTCTAAAACTTCCAGCATTCAAGTCACTCCCGAAGTTGCACACACTTCAGATCGCTAGATCTTACGGAACCTACCCTGGTGCAGAAGTTGAACTCGATACTCGCAATATGCCAAGTTTGGAGAATATCGAATTCTACCATAACAATTGTTCCTTCGTGTTTGACGAGTCTTCTTTGCAGAAGGCGAAGAGGGTTGTTCTTGTCGGTGAAAAAGAGATCGCTATATTCGCGACCCAGATTCAGGGATGTCTTCTTAAGGAACAAGCCAAGGAGAGAGAACAAACCACCAAAGAGAAAGCCAAAAGGGACAAGGAGAGTAAAATCAAGAAATCTCCCAACAATCCGTCTCCATTAGCTCTTTCTGCCATCTCTTCCACTCCTGATATCGTTCCGGTCATATCTCCGCTTGGAAAAATCGAAGAGATCGTTGTTGGAGGTGTATGGATCCCCAAACTCAACTCTTCGCATACCTCCCTTCACAGTTGGAAACTCCCAGCTCACATCAAATCATTCACAC